AGTGATTTCGTCTACTCTCATCATCGTTCAAAGTTCATCGCACGATCACGATTGTCCAGTAATATTTTATTTTTAATTTTTTTGTCTACAAATCGGAATGACCTGAAATTTGGAGCGTGCGTACATATTAGTGAAGCGCACTTAATAAAAATATAAAATAAATAATTCGTAAAAAATAAATTGATCAAAATACCCCTGAAAAGTTTTGGGGGTATTTTAGTTAATTTGTTTCATGTAAAATATTTTTTTGATATTTTTCGTAGATTCACCAATGTTTTATTAACACACTCTCCAAATCAGGTCATTCCGATTTGTAGAAAAAAAAAAAAAAAAAAACACTACTGGACAATCGTAATCGTGTGATGAACTTTGGACGGTGATGAGGGTAGGCAAAATCACTGTTCATTTTTACCTATAGGAGTTTTGTAGTATCTTCTTTTATATATATATATATATATATATATATCTTGATCAGAACTTGATCCCACCTGATAGTTTGGATTCGGGTTTGATCGACTTGGACCTAACAACTTGTGGAGTCTGGTTCGGGTTTGGACCCGACCAGACGAATGCTATAAACTGCACCTTTTCCGAAACTTGAAATTTAGAATTTCTTGAATGGCAATCCCAACCGGCTCATTTTGGCAGTGTTATAACTTGCATATGCTTCTCTTTTATGTTACGTTCCAAATGTTACCATATCAAGCCAAAAGATTATATGCTCTCAAGGGGGCATCTCAAGGTAGGCAACTTCTGGCATGAAATAATTACAAAAATCCATGCATCTATCTATCTAACCATGAGGTAAATCAATAATTGCTCCTTTGATACAGAAAAAAATATACACCATTCAGTAGTTTAAATCAACTACTACTCCTATGATACAAAAAAAGTATACACCATTCCGTAGTTTCGAATAAATCATATAGCAATTCTCTCTTTATGAAAATATTGAATAAATGAGTCAATGCACCGATATCAGCCATAAAAGGTCCAACCCATAACAAATGAGAAGCTACATGACTGAGCTCCAACATAATTACCTTGATATAGTTGACTCTTCTAAGTACTTGAATATTTCTCAACTCTTCCGGTGCATTCACTAATATTCCTTGTGAACATAGTAGCCAAATAATCCTAATCTGTTGTATAAAGAAGACATTGTATGATATTTTATGTTACGTTCCAAGTGTTATTATATCAAGCCAAAAGCTTATATGCTCTCAAGAGGGCATCTCAAGTGTAGATTTGATGTATTTATTAGATAAGATACATGGAATAAATGGTCTAGCAATAAGCTCAACTTTGATGGAAGTTCTTTTGGAAATCTAGAACGTGAGAGTTTTTTGTTTTGTTTTTGGAGATGGGGTAGAGATAGGTAAGAGATCATAAAGGGCGGATATTATTATTTTTTGGATAATTCAGTGGAGAAGACAACCCTCTCCCCGTTTTTTGAAGTAGATTAAAAGATAATGGGGAAATCTTGAAGCAATATTTTGGGCTGTGACGGCCAATGAGGCAAAATTAAGATTATTACTGCGAGAATCTAGCCATGGAGAGGCATAATTAAGATTCTTACTGCAAGGTTTGAATCTAGCCATGGAGTTGTTCAAAAAATCATAGCTGAGGGGCATTTAATGTGAGAGAGATATAAAGGTTCCTTGGTTTATGTTCAATTTATTGTAGATATTTGAGCTGGGAAATTGAACAAGAGAAAAATTAAAAGGTATGATTTGATTATGTGTATGCTTTACGTTATTTTTCGTCTATTTTCTTTCATTTTTATTTTGTATTTGAGGACTTAATACATAATTATAAGTATGATTGTAGGATTATTACCATAAAAATTTGTTGTTTATAACATAAATTATGAGCTCATTATATCATTTTTAAGATTTTACTATAGATTAAAAAATTTAAATAAAGAACATTTTCTTTGATATAAAGCTCACCACTAAAAAAAAAAATTCCGTACTTATTAATATCATGTATAGCTAATCTTTTAAAAACTTTTAAAGTTATCAACAAAATAATTTCATTTTTTACAATAAATTCCTTTTTTTGATTACTTATATATATATATATATATATATTAAAGATTTTTACCATAGATTAAAATTTTTAAACAAATAACTTTTTTTTTGATACAATACTCGCCACTAAAAGGAAAAATTATTTAAAAAATAGATTATGAATTTCTATACTTATTAATTTCATGTTTGAACAATTTTTTAACAATTCTAAAGTTATCGAAAATTAATTTTGCAAGAAATTATTTTTTATGATCACATTTAAACAATTTTTCGGCGTGAGTTCGAGTAACTTGGACCGATTTGCACCGACTACTGTAGCAGCAAACCAAAGGTTAAAAAAACTATATAAAAAATCCAAAAAAAAGGAAATGTATGTTTAAACTAAGATTAAGCAAAACATTTCAGAATAATGTTAAAAAATATTAAAATATAGATTTTTAAAAAATCAACTTTTGATTGGGGGTATTTTTGAAATGATCCAAAACAATAGGAAAAATATAAAAATAAGTATTTATAGGCAAACAAAAAATATAAAAAATAAGTATTTATGGTCAAACCATTTTTTCAATCTTCGCCAAAATGACAGAAGACATAAAAAAACATATCCAAAATAAATTTCTTACTTTTTAGGATTTTTATATTTTTTTGAATGTTTTTAATGTGCTCAAGTTGGACACCCAACTCGGGACAACTAGGGCTCGACAAGTACCAAAGCTCAAATAACTCAACCGAGTAGAAACTACTGGCCAATTTTTAAATAACTATTTTTTT